CAGACAAACATGCACACAGATCAGCTTCTCATTTCCCCAGTTGAAACATCTTAAGTCTATATACATGCAAATATTGTTCATTTCAGAGGTTTAACTTCTGGACACCAGACACTCTCTACTCACTGTGTGCACTCAGGAAATTTCAAGTTTCGCATTTGATTTGTCAGCATTGCATAGTATATCAAAACTGGCTTCTAAGCCACTGTCACAAAATCATTTTGTAAATATAATTTTCTCCTTCTGGTTGGATTCAGCAGATGGATTTTAAAGCAGCCTCTGCACATACTACTACATATATATTTAACTGGAGGCATGAGAGAGAGAGAGTTTGGAGCTAAATTGATCTCAGTGATACTTCAGCAGACGTAATAACATTTTTTTTGCTTTTTTGTAGGTATATTTCCTCAAAATAATCAGTAGCGTTGGGACTTACCAAGTATTAGAAATGTAAAAACCAAGATCCAACTGGTCCAACTTAATGCTACATAGAAGTTTATAAGTTCAAGTTCTGTGAATGAATCTTTTGTTTCTGTCATGACCTGTATTTAATTTGGTGATTTACATTTTTGGGGCTCAGTGGCTAACAAACACATTTTTATATGTCACAAAAGGGAGTAAATATCAAAACCATGAATCGAATACATCAGCTATCCCTCTCCTATACCTTTTGTATCATTTACACCAGTGGTCCCCAACCAGGCTGCAAGAGTTGAGGCCCAGGTGTGAAATTTATGGTTTTCAGGGTTTTTATTGTTTTTTATCGTCATTTTTTAATCGTTTTTATCGTTAACTCAGTTTCCCTGGGTCTTTTCCAGTGTGTTATGAATTAATCTTCCTTTTTTGGTACTGGTTTTATTTTGTTGTATTTATCCGCGACACCATATTGTCGGACATAAACCGGTCCGTAGCACAAAAATGGTTGGGAACCGCTGATTTAGACGACTTTCATAAGACAGCTCCATCCATATATCCATTTTATCTTTTAAGTCAAACAAAGTATTTCACTGTTTTAGCCTTTCTGATTGTTTTCTGGTAAATTAATGCTTTACTATAACTTGTGTGTTTTTGCATTTATTCATGTAGTTTTTTCTTTCAAACATCTTCAAAAAATGTGAAAATCAGCCAAATGACTCAACCCTTTAATGTCAAACTGTTAATACCCACCTGTGAATGTTGGCAGTGTAGTGACACACAGGTGGAATATATTATGCTGGTTGAGAACAAGTCATGAATGGTCTGGTCTCCCTACTAATAAACCCCTCCCCTTTTTTTTCACGGACAGTACGTGCAGCCTAAATGAAGTGGAACTTGTTCAGGCATCAGACAACGCCCATGGTCGCTGCTAAGCCAACGGGAGCCAGTGCCTTGACTGTGACTCCAGCGCCGGTCGCGTTAGTCTCGGCAGACAACTCCACCGAACCAGTGAGCAAGAATGATGCCTTTGACGAGATCAAAAACAAGTTCCTGAATGAAATCGACAAGATCCCACGTGAGTGCCACGCAAGCCCCAATCATCCGATCAGCCATCAGTTCCCATTGATACAACTCTAAGCAATGAATTTGGAATTAGATTTTCTCTTTTTGCTGCAGGCATTTGCAGGCCTTTAATGTCTTTATTCAGTATTGATCACTGGCTGCTCTTCCCAATGGCAGAGAAATCTAATTTTCACTAGATCTAATTGCTAACCTACCACCTTTTACTAAATATATTTGGCCCAGGACGTGACAGGAGGCTTAATGATTGGTCGGTCAAATGTCACAGTATTTACTTGTAGCTTTTCTGTGTGGGTTCATCTGTACACTGGTCTGTATATGCTCCTCAGTGCCATCATGGGCCATCATCGCCATCGCCGTGGTCGCCGCTTTACTCATTCTAACATGCTGCTTCTGCATCGTCAAGAAGTGCTGTTTCAAAAAGAAGAAGAACAAGAAGGGCAAGAAGGGGAAGGGTGACATGGGAATGAAGAACCTGAAAGGTGGAGAGGTATGTTCTGCCTCAGGAGGACGTTTCCTGCCTGATATAATTTATAATTGTACTGAATATAAAGCAAAGCTAACAACAAATGTCTTTAACCTATATATGACTATAATAATAGGCCTATTATATAAAGGCTTAGGGGTGTTATGTTTGGCATTGTAATAAAATAATAACAAAAAGCATTTTTCCATATTTTACTCAAGTAGCTTTAAAAATAATTTAGCCTGTTTGAATTGTATTGGATTTTAGGCTAGATGAAAACAGAGATTCTTTACAATTTTGATGTTTTCTAACCCAGTTTTTCTCCACAGTTGTTAATTACATTCTTTATCCACCATGGTTAATGTTTTTTAATTTATTTGTTTCTCTTTCTTTTTTTTCATTTAATGTATTTGTCATTAATGTTATTGTTGCTCTTTCTCTCACTTATGCTTTGGGACTTGAGTGGAAAATGACAAGACTTTAACATACAGAACAGCCATTGTTTTTCTCCTAGTCCTGAAAGAGTAATTATTTAAATTACTAGTTAGTACAATGCTGTTGTTTTGGGCCTATAATTATTATTTTTCCCACAAACATGATTGATAATTTGATGAGGTGCAGTAACATATCTAAAATTGATGTTATTTTAAAACTCCAATGGACTTGCTGCACAAGATATGATTGTGCTAATGAGGGGGCTTCTCCGTCTGTCATTTTCCTCAGTCCCTACAGTGTAGCTAACTACATTTGCTGTGATTACCCTTCTTTGGTGTCTGCTGTGAGTTCAATCTCTGCCTTTGTCTCTGCTCTCCTCCTTCCTGCTTTGTGTCTTATGTGTGCTCCGTGTATCTTGACTGTGGTGGACTTCTCTGCCTACGGTAGGTCTGATAGCACGCGGCACCCCTCTCTGGCCACTCTGTGTAAGCACAGACCAGGGCAGGGTGGGAGCGGTGGTGGGAGTGGGGTTGGGCTGGGCTGGGCTTGGAGGGGTTGGATTGCAGTGATGATGACAATGAGTGCTATGGCTTCCTTAGTTTTTGCAAGCTTAGGTGCTGTGGGTGCTTGAGGACTCCATGGGAGCGATTAAGCTGCTTCGCAAAACCCACTGAACTGATATGCCGCACTAAATGCTATGTCTTGTATATCCAGAGATTGCAATTTTGGCATAAAAAAACAACAAAAAACAGAACAGACATCTGTTTAAGTTGTCTATGGTTTGAAATGAACATGAAACTCATCCTATGGTTGAGCCTTTGAATGATGAGTGCACTGAGCAGCTCACTAGAGATCACTAATATGCATGTGCAAGGGGTAAGCTGGATATTTGTCAAATATTAGCTGAAACTTTACCTCACTGAGAGCTTGGAGCATGTTTCCACTATTAGAGGCCTCTATTGTGTATCACGACCAAAAATACTGATGTCTTACAAATAATTCCTCTTCAAAGATTTGCTAACTTAGCTATAAAATAAATATGGTGTACCCCAGGTTGTGCAAACATGCTCCGAGTTCCACAGCAGATAAAGATGTTTGTACCCCTTGACAAAGACCAGCATATGCCCTTGCAGTAGGTACCATTGAATGGCCACAACTTGACTTGAGAGTAACTTTCCTGGATGACCCATGCTGCTGACATACTAGGTGACAGTCATTGATCCCCTCTCTCTCCCCGAAGCACTTGGGTGCCATTGAAGAGAAATGGTGGGCCAGAATGTTTGCCCACATCTTCAGTCAAATGCAAAAGCCTGATTTTAGTCGATCCAAACCTAATGCCGCACGAGTCAACCGGCTGCTTTAGTACACATTCTGCTTAATAAAAACTCAGTACTGAGCTTACATTTCAACCCATGGAGTTGAAAGGGCATTCATTCAGACGTACCATTTCTTTATCTTTGAACCCCCTCTGAAAGTTCGAGAGGAACTGCTAATTCTCAGCATGATCCCTCAGTGGATGTGTACATTTCACTCGAGACATTAATATAGATTTTTGGGGGCCTCGACGTTTAAATGAAACATCAACGCATAACCTTTACCACACTTAAGACATCACAAGATAAACCATTTACATTTACCATCAGAAATAATCTTGGATCCTGCATTGTGTGGCCTGGCATGCTTGAATGAAAAGCATTTACAACAATAAAGATACAGAATGCCACGTAGGACACTGTGTGAGAATGTGAGTGTATTTGGTTGTGCGTGTGTGTGTGTGTGTGTGTGTGTGCCTGTGTGCGTGCGTGCGTGCGTGTGGGAGATGGGTGAGTGGGGGTGTGAAGCATGCATGTAAGTCTGCATGTTCAACAGCATTTTCGGGCCGTTCTAGGTAAAATAAAATAAAAAACTCTAGAGCCAGGGTATGGAGGGTAATATTGTGAGGGAAAAATACTCTAAGTACGAGATTATGTCGATAATGTACAAAAAGATTTATTTTTTGGGTTAAAAACCCTCCACTTAGCTTCAGTTTGCAAGGTTGGGTCAATGCTCCTGCTCCTTCCGTACGTGCTAGCTGCAGTAGAGAAAATTAAATGAATCTTAGTGTCCGGATTAGAAACTTTTTAGATTAGAAATTTTGTCTCATAATCACAATAATATGATGTCTACACATATGTGGTGTGGTGAGGTCGCTCCAGCCTTGGAGAGCAAAGCGATGTGGTTCCCTGACAGGAACATTTTTTCCTGTTTAACATAAAAATTGAATCTACTTTACGACTTATAGTGCTGTGCAAAAGTCTTTGAGCCACCTTTTTTTGAAAGTTGGGAAATAGGTGCATTAAGCTATTTTCAAACATCCATGATTCAGAAATTTCACAGTTTGATTCTTAAGAACTTGACTTTCAGATACGGTTGATCTGTGCTAGACTGTTTTTTTAGGCCTGCCACGTCTTCTTTTGTTCTCTACTTGTCCAGTTTCGTCACATTTCTAAAGGTCATACCACATACCATCCATCCATCCATCCATTCTCTTCCACTTATACTTGTCAGGGTCGCGGGGGGGCTTTAGCCTATCCCAGCTGTCTTAGGGCGAGAGGGAGGGTACACGCTGGACAGGTCGTCAGTCTGCCACAGGCATAATGCTACATACCATCCTGATATATTCCATGTTTTTGGATAATAGCTTTTTGGGTATAACCTGTTGGTGCAAAATGCTATTTTATGCCTATGAAACTGTTATGTTTTTTGTAGACTCAACTTAAGAAATAGATGTTGCAACTTCCTCCTTGTAACAAAGTCCCTAAAGATACAAGACAAAATTGGTTCTTTGTTAAGTTGTCTGTTATGTGTAGACACAACACTGGTTCATTCCTTGTGTTAAGTGTATTTCTTATGCTTAAATGATTCATACTTCAGTGTTAAATAGCTTAATAAACAAAAAAGAAAACAGTCCTCTGAAAATGATCAGGTGTAAAGACTGGACTGGCAGCAAATATCCAAAGAAAAACTTTGCAAGGCTCTCAGAATGCCTGGAAAATTATTGCTCAAGACCACTTTAAAGATTACAAGAAACACTGACTCCTTGGAAGTAAAATATAAAGAAATGAGGGATGGCTCAAGTGTTTTGCACAGTTCTACAAATCACAGAATTTTCTCCCAATTCTCAAGTTATCATGTACCCCTTAGAATGGTCCTAACATGCCGTTGTATGCATCTAAGGACGTGCGTGCGTGTGGGTGTGGTGGGGTTCAGTATGCTGTGCAGCTAGTGTGCGCGGTAGTGTATGCATTATCTGTGTGGATGCCCTGTTCCTTTTCCAGATCAGTAAGTAGCTGGATCTCACGAAGACGTCAGTGTTTTTTCAGGAGGGGAGCCGTAGAAAAGGAGGCTACGCTGAGAGATTACCCAGTATCTTATAGCAAAATGAAAGTTTACTTTAAGATTCATATCTTAGCAAATTGCTCTTGCTAGATTAGTCGTGACCGCCTCTAAAGATATGGGACCCTGAAGAGTCACTGGGTGTAATGTAAAAGCAAGATGCACGATAACAGAAGATTTGAATTATCTTCTTCATCATGCCCTGATTATCTCAGGAGCAGTTAAATGTCAGTAAGCTGCTGAATGTTGTTCTGGCGTGTGATTAAGTGGGACAATAATTTGCATCAGCTCGAAAATCTGGACTCTGGAATAAATTATGAAATCTTTCAATCATTCACTTAGTTACAGCAGTCAGCCCAGAGTACAGTAATTGAAGCAAAGTCATAACAACAATACCAATGTAAACACATTAATGGGATTTAAGGTTGTCAGGAGGAGATAAATGCCAGACATTAATATAGTCTGGCTTACAGTAAACTGATTGCCAGACTGCCAATATCACCGCGGTTTGAGCAAGTTTGAGAGCTTTTCAAGAAGTGTCAGTAAATACTGCGTCAGTGCTTTGATCAAATCACATCTACGCCTGATAGCGCTGTCCTTCACATTCACTCAGTGAGGACACTCAGCCTCTGTTGGAAACACTGTACACGGAGCCAACTAAATAGCAAGGACATCTAGCACTGCAATGCAATAATGCAGCAGCTCTGTAATAAATGTTAACTTGTTTTTGAAAAGCATCCCATGATATCCTTTAACGTGCTTGCTTTTGACATTGGCTCTTCGTTGCTGATACAGCATTACTCTGTGTGGGATACGCCATCACAATTTTTCAGACTTTTTAAACAACTTAACATGACTCATTTGGAATGAGTCATGTTTGGGATTTGTGCAGCTACCTGTGTGATGCTGTTCCTTCAAAGTAAAAGTCCTCTTCCCCGCTCTGTTTCTGTTTTTTTGTCCACTCCTTGTAATATCACTATTACTGGTAGCTACACAAGTGAGTCATATTAATTTGAGATTTTACAGTGACTTTAAGAAGTGAAATTGAGACCTTCCAAGGGTTTAGCAGAGCTGTTGTACTAGATTGCATTGCAATGTAAGTTGTTCCTGTTTTTTTCCATTCACTCCTTTTCTATTTGCTTTTATTCTGTTGTTTCTCTCCTTAATCTTAATCTCTCTCTGCCCCTCTTTCTCAGTCTTTTACGTAACATACACTTCTATTGAAACAACACTTGTACAACAGTTTGTAGTTCCCTGCCTTTGATTTATGCAGATTTAAAAGACTCGTAGCGCTCATGAAAAAAAAAAAAAAAAGAAAAACAGCAAATGGTGTCACCCAAGAAATAGTGAAATCAAGTCAGGTTGCAACCGTGGTCATCGATGAGCAGATTGCACTAGTAACACGGGGGTAAGTGGCAGGTAGGTGCTGTGACTAACCCGACTGCTGATACCCAAGGTTTGGTGTTCAGCACAGATGGCTCCGCTGAACCGTCATCTCACTCCTTTTTCTGCCGCCCGTCCCCCCTTCTGTCATTGCAGAAACCACAGGATGACGATGATGAAGAAGATGATGTGGAACCTGGACTGACTGGGGATGAAAAAGAAGAGGAAGTGAAGGAGAAGGAAAAGTTAGGGAAGCTGCAGTACTCAATTGATTATGACTTCCAAGAGAACAAGGCAAGTGCTTGAGTAGTTTATTTGACATTTTCTTGTCAAAATGAACTCAAAGCAGACCCTGTGAGTAGTTACTAATGTGTGAAGCATCACATGCTAAATGTTCTTTTTAGCACATCTTCTGGTGTAGTAGTTCTTAGTTGATTTGCCAAAATAAAAATGAAACCAAAATTGGGTTTTTAGTTTTAGTTCAACCTTTCCTGCCTTAACTGCATAACTTCTTATTCCCTAGTTGACTGTGGGAATCCTGCAAGCCGCTGATCTCCTCTCCATGGACAGCGGTGGCACCTCAGATCCCTACGTGAAAGTCTTTGTCCTCCCAGACAAGAAGAAAAAGTTTGACACAAAGGTTCACAAGAAAACACTGAATCCTGTATTCAATGAGACCTTTACCTTTAAGGTAAGTTACTAGCAAAAGCTAAATGGCCTTTATTAATTACTTAGTAAAACAACATGAATGTCAAGTCATTTGATGTGTGGACAGGTCCTGATAAGAGTCAGATTCTCCTCTAATTTCCCTCTTCTGTCCTCTAGAGCTGAGCAGGTACTATGTTTCTTATTTCTTTTCAACAGTGATGAAAAACAGCAGACACACTGAAGGTGTCTGACAAGGAGAATATGGTAGAGAATCAAATTAAAGGAGAGGGCCACCTCTGGTGCACTTTGCGTGCTGACACAGCTCTGTGAAAACAACTCAGCTTTACTTTGTCAAAGTCAGGGACAGGCAGCTCTGCTGAAGCAGCATGTTATGAAGCTAGACAATTCTGAGCTCCAGGCCAGGGGCAACAGCCAATACTGGTCTGATCTAGATTTATCTGATCTTTTATATATCAAGTATCTTTTGTCATAAACCGTTAGAAATGTGTGCTCATTGCTACCGGTTGAATTAAACTTAAATTAGTAAAATAGGTAAATGGGTTGTTATCTTTCAGATACCATTCCAAGAGATGGGAGGAAAGACTCTGGTAATGTCCGTTTATGACTTTGATCGCTTCTCTAAGCATGACGTCATTGGAGAGATTAAAATACCCATGAACACCCTTGACTTGGCAAAGCCAATTGAGGAGTGGAGAGACCTGGACAGTGCAGATCAAGAAGAGGTAAGAAGAGTGTTACTACCTCTATCACACTGCTGATATCACTCTTTAAAAACCTGCTGTATGTCCACACAGGTGCCTCTTTAAAAGGCTATTCTAAGAAAGCTCTTTAATAAAAGTCCACTTTAAGCATAAATTAAAACAAAATACTTTTTTCCCTCTGGGATTCTCGTGCAGCTCATTCAAGAGTTTGGTCTTTCCCTTTTTGTTCTCCTTCAACCAGTATAGCATAGCTACAATTTCATTTCTGTATTTCTTCCTATGTCTCAGCAGTAATGTATGCTGTGACCCTACAGAGCTTCTTTTCCACTGGAATTATTTCTTGCTGATATGTTATTAACTTTGGATACATCAGCTATATAGATAGTATTAAAAATAAAGTAATGGCAGCAGGAATTATTGTTAATGAATATGCTTACTTAAAATGTTATATAAATGACACCGTTTCTGTATTTGTGCAAAGAAAAGGTTCTGCTTCAGATCTGCTTTAACTTTCTCTCCTCCTGCCTCGTCCTCACAGCCGGAGAAGCTGGGTGACATTTGCATCTCCCTGCGTTATGTCCCCACTGCCGGCAAACTCACCATCTGTATTCTGGAGGCCAAGAACCTCAAGAAAATGGATGTGGGTGGATTGTCAGGTGGGCTCCTCTATATATATATTTATTTATTTATATATACATATACGTACTGTACTAAGCTTAAATATTTTATTCCTTATTAATTTCTTTGGAGCAAAGAGACATTTAGGTGTAGCAAACTGCATTGTGCGGAGGAGAAAGCATGTGAGCACAGCCATTAGGTCGGTTCTGCTCTGCTCACGTGCTGATGCTGCAGTAGTCACCATGCAGCAACCCTCACGTCTTCTGGGTTCAGCGTTGGCCCCATCTGTTGGTGCATTAAAGCAGTGCGACTAAAGCGTGCATGTGCGAGGGATTTCTGTCAGCCTCTATCGTGATTTTCCTCTGTTTTTGTTTTCAGATCCATATGTGAAAATCAACCTTTTGCAGAATGGAAAGAGGCTGAAGAAGAAGAAGACGACAGTGAAAAAGAACACTTTGAATCCTTATTACAATGAGTCATTCAGCTTTGAGATCCCTCTTGAGCAAATGCAGGTAAGGATGCGGAATAGTCCTGTCAAATCTTTAACGTTTAGTAGGGGCAGAAAGAGTAACATTGCCAGGGGTGTAATTTCCAGGGGGGTTAGGGGGGTTATGACCCCCCCCAATATTTAGACCCAACCAATGTAACCCCCCCAATAAAATTATGAATTATCTTGCATAAAAAGGCTGTTGATTTTCTTTACTCATTTCAGGTATTACCAGCAAAATAGTTGCATGTTTAATCATCTGGGAATTTACCCAGAGATCTGGGAATTTACCCCACCCCCACCCCGTCAATGTTCAGCACAAAGTTACGCCAATGAACACTGCATCCTGTCGACACATGCTGTTTAACGAGCGTTATATAAATGTTGTCTATCAAGTAATCTGTGATCAAGCATACCACGAACGACTGTGTGGCAGTTATATTTATATGAAATTGTCACTATCCCAAATTGTCTTTCATTTTATGAGAACATGATGTGGTATTTTCCAGTTAAGTGAGTATGTAAATCCACCTGTGTACACAGGCTTTCTAATTTTCAGGTCTTTCATGAAATTTATGATGGTACTTGTAGTTTTCAGCTCATGGTAATGATCACAAAAATTTAAAAGTCATTGTAGCATTTTATTGAAATAAGGTGTAAATCAATGTGTAGTGCCATCTCTTGCAAATATAAAGAGAATTTCATGAGTAATAAAAATGCACTCTGGCTTTAAATGTACTCTTGAGTTTTCCTGCAGCAGCCTTATTTGGGTCTTGTATGACTGGTAGCTTATGGTGGCATTTATTAGAAAACTTCATGATCCATTTCTGCTTTTTCATTGTTGCAGTGCTCTTGCTTTTATAGACTGGAAGATTAACGCCATGCTTGTATCTGTCTGGTAAACTTGAGACTACCACTTGCAGCCAGTTAGCATAGCCTAATGTAGATTCTTTAAGTTAAGTTGCTGCCATCGCTGCTGTTGTAGTGAAGTAGAGTACACAAGAAGTGGGATCAGTGTGATGATTAGTGAGCTTTCGAGGTACTGGAGATCTTATATTTCGTGTAAGAGTGATTTCAATATTCTCATCTAACTTTATTCAAACAATGAAAACCACCACACTAACACCCATTTATTATCACTTGTGACCAAAGGGACCACTGACCATGTAAACACATTTTTATCATGTGAAAAAGAAAGTTGTCATGTGACTCTATGATGAAAATGTTCTTTTCATGACTGTCACATGTTGCTGTGTGTTATAAAATAGAAGTTATATGTACTTTAGCACCAAAAACATTGTATATGATGACTGTCTGTGGTATGTAGGACGCTATACACTGAGCATTGCTCATACTTTGCAGAAAGCATAAACACCCCCCCCGGGCTTCTGACACCAGTAACCAATTAAAACATCTTTCAGTAACGTCAGATTTCACTACAGTCCACTTCAGATTTTGTAATCCTTTCTTCCTGCTCTCCCAGAAAATCCTAGCTGTGATCACAGTGCTGGATTACGACAAGATTGGCAAGAATGATGCCATTGGGAAGATCTTGGTAGGAAGCAAGTCCACAGGGGCTGGGCTGAAACACTGGTCCGACATGCTGGCCAACCCCCGTCGCCCCATTGCCCAGTGGCATCCACTGCAGCCAGAGGAAGAGGTGGATGCCGCTCTCGCAGCCCTGAATGCCAAGAAGTAAACCCACCTACACCATCTCCACACCTACCCACCCATGCATTCCCCATCATTTCCCAGTGTATATTCCAGACAAACACCCCAACTGCACATCTGCTCCCCTCTCCACATTTTTTTCCTTCTCCTCCTTCCTTCCCCACTGCCACCCTTCAAAAGATCCACTGATACCATTTGACATGAAGGGAGTAGTTTAAAAAAAGCATCATGTTATATAAAATCATGCCACTAAAAAAAGAAGATAAGTTACAGGATGGACAGATGCTCCGTTGATTTCCTTTAGATCTATTTTTGTATTGGGGTTGTGGTTCCATTATATTATAAGAATACATAGTAGAATATGAAGAAGGGTAAGAGTGCTATATGGGAATCTGGTCATAGAGGGGATAAAACATACAACATTCACTCATATTGTACTTCTTATCTTTTCCCTTTAGTGACACATGTTGCTTAGAATAGAGCTTAATAATAAAATGCTTTATACTGCCATATGATAGAGAAATAACACAAGCAGGTTCATTCCTTAGGTGTATTGTGCACCATGTTCCACACCTGCCAGTTATCATACTAGATGATTCTGTTAGTTTAAAGTACATTCCTAGAGGTGGGTAGCAAAGTAGGGATAGACACATATCCAGTTACCCACAAACACACTGCCTTTTTGATTAGTTACCCTTCCGCCCATCGTCTCAGGAAAACTGAGAGGAAAGTGAAACTCCATGCCTTTTTTTCTAAACGGGTTATTATTATTCTGATACTCAAGTAGATGAGAAAAATATTCAATTCAAGATCTTTTTGAGTGACCCAAGGCTCACGAGTAGTGTTAGTTTATCCTCAAAGTGGTGTGTCAGGGGAGAGGGAGGGAATAATGGATTTGGAGTAAAAAAAGGGTATTTGTGTATATTTTTTTTCCCACCGTGCAAAAAGGCTGCATCTGTCATCGGAACAACAAGCGTGGAAATATCAGAGCAGGTACAACAAAGACTGATTCCAAGCACCAATGACATGATATTTACAAGGTGTCGATTACCGCCTGCAGTCTACCACCTCCCCTCCCAACGCCTCTGATTCTGTATCTCACTTGTTCAGTGCTACTGCCATTAGTCATGGACTTGACACAAGGGTTTTACTTCAAAGGAATCCCTATAACCGTCTTACAGTCATAAAGGAGACAAGCCTTCCAAGTAACAAAATAAGCAATTTTCAACTACCAGGGACGCCTTCCAGTTAGCAGTGTTGTTCTCTTCATTTCTTTCTTTCCCCTGTTTTTTAATCTCTTTTTCCTTTTATCTCAGTTTCTTTTTTCTATTTGACTTCAAACATTTTTGTTCCTTAAGCACTTTAAATCAAAATCTTACATTTAAGTACACTTAGAAACCAGAGCTTTAATCATTTATGTTAGTAGTTACTGCTAGCTGTAATAAAGAAAAACAAACAGACAGCAAGACAGTGATTGACTTTTTTTGTTGTTGTTGTTGTTTTTGTTGCTTTTTTTTTTTTGCCTCGGCTTTTTGCGTATGCGTTTTAATTGTTTGGATATTATATTTCTCACTTGATTGTGAGGGTGTGGTCTGGAAGAAGGCACTGATCCATGTGTATTTTATACACAGCTTACCAAACTGTTGAATATAATTGCACTATCGGGTATTTTTCTGTTCTGTGGTAAAACTGTTCTTTGATCTGTCTAGTTTTTCTGTGATAAAATGTTGTGAGATTGAATTTTTTCTGTGGCACCATGTGGCATGCCAAACGGGTCTCCTCATATAAATGAACCTGATAATAACAGAGAGATCCTTCAGTTTAATGCATTTCTTAACAGAATGTTTTAGGTCCAGTACAGAGAGCCAAAGTGTCATGTAAAAAAAAATAATTTAAAGTAAAAAGTCCTGCTGAAAATTAAAAATGCAGATATTTTAAATCCTTTTAGCTTATTTTGTCCAAATCTATAAACTGAACCAGGGCACATCTTAAAAATACTTTTTTTTAAGTTTCTGTGGTCTAAAAACTTCTACAGTCCTGGTCTCCTGCAGCTTGAATCATACATGAGATACCCACAGTCCTCAGCTTGACAAGCCCAACACAGATGTCTAAGAATGATATGATATTGTGCATATTTTGGCTATACAAGTTTGGCTCTCTATATTTGTATATTAATATTCTGTTCAAGAGAAATATTGGGAATGAACAAAGCCCAAACTCATCAGGTCTGAATAAAGCAGAAAAGGCTCCTGATATGTGTAGAGTGTTTGGACCCCAATACACTTCCTTGCTGAGCTAGCTATGAATAAAATTTTTTAAAAAAAAAAAAAAAAAAGCAAATCCTGCTGTCTGAAAGCACCAACGGCAAAAGCTACCCATTAACTGTGTGCAATATAAGTCAATGTAAAGTAAATGCGGTCGGCTTTTTAGACATTACCACAGCTTTTTGGGAATTTAATGAATGTTGGAAATCATAGGTTTTTCTTTCAAACTTTGACAGGAGTTGAGTTTTTCACGTCCCATCATTCTTTTCTTCAGTTAACGAAAACAACACTAAAGAAAAGGCAACACGGAAGCAATCAAGCAACCCATTGGTGTGTAGTTTTGCCTATATACATAGTTCATACACGTTGATACTGCATGTTTATACAAAATACTGTACATAAGAGCATGTTTTAGAGACGAAGCAAAAATATCTCGTGTACGTAAATGGGTGTCATTTGTCATTTTAATAACACGACGAAGGGAAAAAAGATGCACTGTATATTTTCTAAAATGAAACAAATGTGTATTTATTTTCCATGAGGGTCACTGGAGAGAATGTCATACAGATATTAGAATAATATTACTAATAAGATCCTTTCCACGCCTGAAATTCTTAAGCAAGTGTGTCGTCCAGTACTGTGTGTGAGTTCATGTAGGATGAAAATGTAGCCGCATGCTTGCTATCTAATTCTGTGTGATCAGAATTTTTATTTTTATTTTTATCTGCCATCTGTTTTGTTTCAGCACCTTTCTGAAGGCCAATATTTGACACATTTCTGAATTTTAATTGCTATTGCTTTTTTTTTTTATTTCAAAAAATGTATTTAGGGTTTTTAATGTTTGGGAAAGGGGATCTCCAAGTCTAAGATATAAGCAGTTTCTAATAGCAGATTTGACGCAGTGTGATTCTGAAATAACTTATTAGAAAAGGCTGAATAAATGTGCAATTTGTAGGTGGATTGTAGGAGTCAGTTTTCTGCCAGCACTGACCAAGAAAGATGTCTGTTGGATCATATCTTTATAGAAAATACATTTCCTGGGGCCAAAAGACAAATAGTTCCATTCCAGTGAACGCGAATGACTTGGAATCCCTTTTTGTCTCTTCTTTACTTGGAAGTTTTTACTTTTTTCTTCTATTTAAATGACCTGAAATACTTCACGGCTGTGTCTCTTTTGCTGTGTTTATTATACAATACGTGTACATGTATACAAGATAAATGAATAAGATAAAACTAAAGCCATAAAACTCAAGCACTAACTCTTTAGAGCTCAGCTGAGTAGCTAGAGTTTATTTATGAAGAAACAAATCTGACATGTCTTCATTTTCCTTGGCCAGTGTTTCTCTTTTACATTCCTTTCAGAGGTCTTTGTTCATCAAGAGGGCAAAAATCCATTTAATGTATATGTGAGCATTGAGAACAGTTGTGAGTTTAGTAGAGTGAGTGTGTCTTTTTCTACTTTCGGAGCTGTTGATGTCCTTGTTTCATAGAGGTAGCTGATTTTCCAGTATTGTGATTAGTAATGTATATGCCTTGTTTTGATAGTATAAATAATAGATATGACATCACAATAGATTCTCAATAATAACGCTAAGAATTATATATATATATATATATATGTATATATATATACGAGAGCGTGTTCTATACTTGGGCCGAGTGCAATTTATGAACCAAACTGGGTCACTCTTCTAGTTTCTCTTCTTCCAGTTTAGCAGAGTTTAGAATGTACTGGTGACTATATGTACAATTAATAAGAAGTTATCCTTGTTTTTGTTGTTTTCTTTTTATTTCTTTTCATTTTTTTTATTTGAGCAAACTGCTCAAGCAACAAAAATGAGAGCAAAAACTGAGAAACTTAATAGTGGAACCCAAGTTTTAAACCTGAATCCCTCCCATAGAACTATGCATAGAGTTATGATTTTCGCAGGCACATGGCAGAAAAAATCATTTTGATGTCATGCACGTAAGATTAAACGAAAGAAATAGTTTCACATTTTGGGAAATGACTTGCCAGTTTGCAGAGAGTTTGAAAAGACGACTGATTCCACAGTCCACACTAAAATATGAAGCTTGTGTTATTTAGTCATCCTGAAATCAGTTGTTGATGGAAAAAAAAAACCACTCCCCTAGTTTGTTCTATTCCTTTTTTTTCTTTTCTGTCTTTGAACATTTTAAACAGCGGTATTATGTGTTACTTTGTGAGCTTTAGTGGTGCTAGTAGGCATATTTTCTTACTTCGAGCGAGGCAACCTCTTTTTCCAGTCTTTGTGCTGAGCTTTATACTTAAAAAAGCAAAAAAAAACAAACAATGACACAGGGGTGGTGTCAGCCAATCAATAATAGGCAAGTTTTCCAAGTGTGGAACTATTCCTTTAAGTTCACCTCAATCCTGCCAGATCTGTCAAACTGCCACACCTGTTCTGGCAACAATCTGCAGTGTGTTGTGTGACGCTACACATTGTCTAATGCAATATAGTTTTTACTCACTGTCCCGTTAACGCTATAGACTGTGACCAAATGATGCACTGAGAATAATTTAAACACAAAATTTCAGCGCATTTCTAAAAATACTGCCACTACCTGATTACGGTGGCCTTCACTCATCACCACTGTTTGAATCTGCAAAGCCACAATAACAGTACACGCAGAGCAGTGACAAACACTTCAGATGATGAGGCAAAGGTGATTACAGGTAAACCTATAGCACACTTTAGAGATATATTTTTGGTTTTTTTTAGTACCTTTTACTGCTCGGGTCACTGCAGTCGCATGACCGCTGGACAAGTTCTATGGGGCACTGGGAGTTGTGTGTATTTGGGTATGTGGGAAAAAAAGATGAGGTGTATGCCCTTTAGCAGACACGGTGCAAAACCACAGCATTGGATTATACAATATACAGTACAGGTCTGCATGCATGGGACACATTACTCATTCGTAAATGTGCATCTTTGTGCGTTTGACTGTAATGGTCAAACAACAGTCTTAGTTGTGTTTTGAACCTGGAAATGAATCTGTTCTCTTACTGGTTGTGGAACTGTGTAATATCTTTATGCACATCCGCATCTGAAGCTGTGTGCTCTTTCAGCTGTGCAGACAGCTGAAAGAGCACCGGTCACACAGTTGTGGTTTGTTTGTTTTATTCGATTTTTCTGCAAACGCTGGGATTTAAAAAGGGAAACCATCCAAAGTTCAGCAGATCTTTTACCACCTTGTCAAAATGTGTCGAGGAGCCTCTCAGCGGGTAAAAACGCCACTTTGAAACATGATGTCTTGTCTCCTCTATTACTCGCTGTACTTCTCCTTTGTATTCTTGTGCATATGTGTAATCACTTCTTCTGCCATTAAATTTTTTGTGATGTATGCCTTTAATGTAGAATATAGAGATGTGCCACCAAACTCTGTCACATTTGCTTTCTCATTGCGTCTTTGTCTCGTTTACGTGTAACCAACCATGTACCGTCGGTTTCATGATGCTGAATAGGAAGCAGGCTCACTGATTTCTCCACTGAAGCTGCTTTTGCTGGGCGTAAAGAATGCCGGCCTTCATGTTTACAACATGGACATACTGTATACTGCCAAACATGCAGGAGCGTACCAAACTCCCCTCTTGAGCGCTTAGTCCTCCACCCCTCATCCCTGATGCAACTGTATTCTCAAGACTCTTCTTTTCCCTTTTTATTTTCACCTCTTTCTCTTCATCCTCTTTTAAAGCATCAGAGGACAGTCAGGTTGTGTCCTCTAGCCGTGTTTCTTCGTGTCTAGTGTCGTGGTGCGCGTGTTCATGTCAGTACTTGTGCCTACTGTGGATCGCATGCTTTAGCCCTTGACTGGACACAAACGTTGCTCACAAACTCCTCTTGACCCTTATGTGGACAAACGTTGGGGATCCTTATAAAGTTATCAAGGGAACCAAATAACTTATTACAAATTTATCATATGTGTTAACAGTTCTGTAAAAACAAATAGGAAATAAAGGCCTTTTAATTACCATGACTTGTTTGTGTTTAATACGCAGTTCCTCTTCCTCTGTTCGTTGTGTGTTAATGTCACAAAAACAAAACATTTTCATCCTTTTACCATTTATTAAGTAGAGTGAATTAAGTAATGTGTCTGTGTTAAGCCACCACTCAGAACATTTCAGACTGTTGAATACACAATCACTCGGTAAATCAGTATATCTACAGCACATGTAGAGAGAGCAGAATCATACTGTAGCTTATTTATAGTTCAATTAGTGGATGTGAGCAAACATAACACTGGTAATGTGGCATGTGGCATGGCTGGACTCCAAAACCATCACATGGTTTAAGGAATATATGAAACACTGAGGACCTTGGTTAACTTAACCATTAAGTGAAAAGAAGACTGATACCAAAATCCTTGGTGTGTCTTTCACACCACGTACAGCACAGAAGGAGATTTCATGCAAATTAGTCTGAAATGCAGAGTTTATAAATCACGATGTATTAAACCCTACTTTAAAGCAAACTCACAATCTCTACACTTTGTTGCATTGTGGGTTTAGTTCTTAAATAACCATTAGAAGTAAGAAGTGCCTTCATACTGCAACTAATAAAAACATGACATCACTAATATTGAACTAGTAAATAGAGCCTACAAAAATAACCAGATCAAAAACAGAAGCTTGGTAAAGTTCTGGTTTGTTAAAAGGCCTGCAGTACAGGCTTGCTCTGAAGCTAGGTGTGCCTTATAAATTGGCAACAAAGTCTTTGAACAACTGCAGACCTATTAAAATGGTGAGAAATCATTGCAGAATAAAAGAGCTGATAACAGTTTATATTTCACAGCGCTGGCTTTTGCTGATTTTTAAGGCCACCCAATTAATGTGAAGGCTCACAGAGCAATGATAACAAGGAAGTGCACGATTCTGATTCCTGGCCTAATGACAGGAAGGCCAACGGGTCAGCTAAAAAAAAAATCAGTGTACTCCTCTGAAACAAAACTGACTAGGCAAAATATAAAGATTAAAACTAACACATCCATAAATAAATAAATATATATCTATTAAAAAACAAAATATATACGGCATTTTCATTTGCACTCGGGGTGTCTCTCTCTTCAGGCATTCATTTGTTTTCAAAATGAGATACTAGCTCAATAAAAATATCCTCTTGGAAGAACATGCATTTAAAAAAGCAAGGCAGCTGAAAACACAAAAAAGGAAAGCGTGGCAAATATTTATATCATCTCCTCTGAAAGTGTACCATTTTGAATGTGTCACAGGGCTGCTAATAACAGCAGCACTGTTAACATGTGCATGTACAAAGTAGCCTTTCATGCCTATTGTACAGTCTCCTTTATCAAGCCCACATATACATGTTACATTTTTTTGCACACTAGGTAAATTAAACTCAAATGTGTATTAGCTAATTTTTAAAAAGCTGAAAATTGGACTAAAGTTTGTGTCTGATCTGTTAGAATGATAGTTTTTCCAAAGGTTTGTCAAGTGCATCACATTCATGCATCCCTGCAACTGTAGAAAAACACCCACAGATTTCCAAGGAAATCCACATCTGCGAGGCACTCAACTGTGGCGAGCAGCAACGGCTGAGTGACAAACCTGAGAATGTTGTCAATTGAAGCAAACACACCCCAAAACATGCATTTTATGATGCTTCACTATCTTTAGCCTATAGTGAAAGCAAGTCAAAGTGTTTTTGTGATAAGTTTTTAACGTCTTTAACGTCTCACATCATAATAAAGGAGAAAGCTACGGTTCCAAACAGTCTAAGTCAATGACTGTCTTCTCTTTCAAATAAAAAACATATTAAAACACGATTATGGAGTGCACAAGTAACAACCAAAGTAAAAGTGTCAAAATGTTATATGGCATATTATTAGGTACAGTAGCCTCACGCAATCTGATGCATTAGTTTGGATTTGAAATGTCAACAGTACACCTGGTCCCTATTTCATACACGTGACAAATATTCCTAAAACAAACAACATCTAATGAAGGAAAAAAAAATTGTTGAAACTTTAATTTTAATAATGGTAAAATTAACTGAAGCTTGCCAACACTTCTCTTTGGATCTTCACAAGTTCTAACAGGAATTACTAGGATGTTTCTGAAAATGCAACCAAACTAGCCTGTCACCATACAGTAACTCAGATACGAGTCAAAACCCGGGACCTTGTGGATAATGACACTGCTATTTCAGGGTTGGAGCGTCCACAGACACACAAGAGGAGCATCGGACATCTTTTTTATTTTATTTTGACAGTTTGCTGATGACTCGAATGAGAGCACCATTTTCATCCTTTAGTCTCTGGTTGTCTGACTTGAGCTCTGTTAAGACCTAGAAAAAGAGAGGGAGAAAACAATATTAGAAAACCAGGGAAATATACAGCTTTTGCTGTGTCATTTAAATGGTTACTTGACATGTTTGTGACTTAAACCAGGACTATCCACTGCAACTTTAATCACCACTAAAGTTATCTTTCACTGAAGTTTAAAGTCAGGCAATGAGGACATGCTCTACAGTACTTGATCATGCAGTGTGTTGTGACAGTGACAGTATGTCCTGAATGTGAAAAGTGACAGAGAATGAAGTCAGAGAGAAGGAAAGTGAGGGAGGGTCAATTCCCCAAATCTAGGTCATGTCTCTCATGAGAAGCAATGACTAAAAATAACCACCCTCTTTGTCAAAGTATTTCCCCTCTACTGGAGACAAACAATAACCTTCTGCGCTAGCTGGGACACGTTGAGTGAGCAGAGACGTCTTACGTCAACATGTTCCTGCCCAATATGTTGAATATTAATCCATAAAGTGAGAGTGAAAGCCCCACTGTGCTGACAATCCTATGTTGTAAGTTAAAAATTAAATGATAGTTTGATAGTTTTGGAATACGCTAGATGAGATGACCAATAAATTATCAGCAGGCTGTTAATTTAGATAAGCGTTAATGAATAAAAGGCAAGCAATTTTCCTGTTAGCACCTTTAAAACTGTTCAATCTGTAGAAAAGATGAAATGAAAAAGTTGTGGTATTATTCATTAAACACCTGCTTAGACAGCATGAAAAATATTTCCAAGAATGAAGGAAAGCAGCGGTGTCCAACAACAGGCCTCAAGGGCAGGTGTTGGAGGTTTTAGATGTGTCCTTGATTCAACACAGCTGATTTAAATGGCTAAATTACCTCCTCAACATGTCTTGAAGTTCTCTAGAGGCCTGGTAATGAGCTAATCGTTTGATTCAGGTGTGTTGACCCAGGGTGAGATCTAAAACCTGCAGGACACCGGACCTTGAGGCGCGGAGTTGGATACCATTGAAGTAAAGCATACTTCAATGGCGCTATATGAGGGGTAGGCAACTCCAGGCCTTGAGTGCCAGGGTTCTGCAGGTTTTAGATGTGTCCTTGAGCCAACACAGCTTATTCCAATGGGTAAATTACCTCCTCAACATGTCTTGAAGTTGTCCAGAGACCTGGGAATGAACTAATCATTTGATTCAGGTGTGTTGACACAGGGTGATATCTAAAATCTGCAGGACACCGGCACTCGAGGCCTGGAGTTGCCTACCCCTGCGCTATATCATATACAGTGAAATGTGTTTCACTCTCCTTGTGTCATGCACCAATTACACCCTCACAATCTGGCATTTTGTTTAAGCAGAAAAAATTCCCATTATTTACTCCTACATATAAGTGCTAGTGTTGACCCCTCCACCACCCCAGCCTCCACATGCAGACCCTTCTATGAATATTTAGTCACTAACCCCAAATTTGAAATAAAAAAATACAGTATTTGTAGCTAGTGATGAGCTTGCAGGCTAGATGCCAAACTGTAACTACATTGGATAAGAAAATAAATCAGTATTTCCTTGTTATTCCACACTAATTTATAGCAAGTCTACTATGGCTTTGTTTTTTTTTTCTGTAAGTAAAACAAATAATTTGTCAAGCTCTGCAAATATTAGTCATTTAATCATTAAATCGAAACATTTTGCAATAACTTTAACAAATCTTTGCTAAAGTTAATTTTGTTGTCCCTAAAAATCTTTAAACCATTATCAGACTGCAGGGTGTGTTTCTTGGGGTTTGATTTGATTAGCTGGTGAGATATTTCCATTTGTTTCCAACAGAAAATATGGCATGCAGACTTTAGAGTAGAATCGATCCTAACTCTCAGAAAACAAAAAAAGGCCATTGGGCTTATTTCCCCAAGATGCCTAATGATACCTTTAATTTCACATCCAGTGCTCATTAGCAAAAACATACAAAATTATTGGTACGTCTGCACCCCTGTCTCATCCAGTGACAAAGCACGTGTTCATTTTCAAGGCTAATGATCTGACACGTTTCATTTCCTTTGGAAGATTCAATAGTGGCTATTACCTTGGAAAACAACTTTGCATTGATTACACAGCACATTGCGCAGGACTTGAATATATTTAATTGTGAAAATAAAAGGTGCTCACAAGGTGCTTCTATTTTTCATGATGCAGAGTCCTAGGTGTTTATGCAAAATGGCAACCCCTATGTAAATAAATAAATGCAGCTTAAAACACAGTGTTCATTTCTAGCATGCCACACAAATCTACCTAAAATTAAACTTCAAATAAGGCTTTGTGACAACTGTTTTGGAGAAAAGGGGGCTTCAGGGTTGGTCTAGACCATAAAGGAGATTAGATTTTTTTTTAAAAAGTGCACAGGAGGATGCATTGCAGTGTGTGTGTGGGGGGGGAGAGGGGTGGGAGGAAAGCGTGAGCATCAAGAGAGTGCAAGACCTGCCTGAGAGGAATACAGCAGAGGTTGAAGGGGCTGTAGAGGCACCAGAAGGAAAGAGAAGTAGAAATTATGTGGCTGAGGAAGGGGAGAAGAGGAAGGGGGAAAAGGTCTCAGAGGATCAGAGGTCCTCTGTCTCCGGCATCGAGGCCGTCTCAGAGAGGCGGGCGAGGACGCGAAGCATGGCTCTATTTTCAGCCAGGAGACACTCGTTCACTCTCCGCAAGGTCTGGACCTGAGCCAGAGCAGGGAAAGCCTGCGTACAGGAGGAGAGAGATACAGAGAGGGGCAGACAGAGAGAGCATGCGGGGAGCAGGCCATGTCGCACAGAGAGATACTCATACAGAGACTGCAGCCATATCCGCTCATACAGGCATGCACCCACACAGCAGCATAGACAGGGGAAATCAAAGAAGCAGAGCTGAGGGATTTATCAGAAATACTTACATAAACAAATATTTACACAACAGAGATATTTTGAGAGAAAATACCATAAGCTGCAACAAAGCGAGGAAAGTTATGAAGCCAGTTCTACTTGGATTTGTGCTCATCAAAGGTGGGCTTTATTGGGAAGAAGTGAGGTGTTGACTTATTATTATATGCATAGAACTGCAAAGAAGATGGAATAAAATTCATAGAAAGCTAAAAAAAAGAGAGAAAATGATGAACGCTGCTATATTTTAGCCTTTGCACAAGAGCCTCTCCAGATAAAAGTCACAGGAATGGAAATCATTCATTTCCTCCCTCTTCCTGGCCTGACTTTTTTGAGGTAAACCTCAATGTGGTTCGACATAGCTGTCTGTGGTTTGACACCATTGCTGAAGGTAAACCGCAGACCAGACACACACACATATACACGTTATTCAGGGCACTTGTGGCATTTCAGCCACCCAGACAGACAAGTTTGTGGAGGTGAATGTGGCAAAGCATGACATATAAACGAGGACACCCAGCTTCGCCTTGCGCACATTTATGAAAGCTGCCTGGTTTGGGGACTTTTCAGTTCATGCATTAAATATTCTCTTGGATTAAAACAGCGCAGTTTTTGGAAAGGTGCCCTTGGCTGTGGTGAAGAAAAGGACACAGTGAGCCGAGGATGCATAATGACCAGTATCCCTTATTACACTCTTTTAATATTGAGCTGTTTGATATTAAATCAGATCTGACTACACTCTCAGGTTCTAAGGGACCATTTCTACAGAGTTACTATTCATTAGGTTTAGAGGCTGTCAAGAATAATTGAGCTTTTCCATTTGGAATGTAAAACCCAGCAGAGTAATCTGACACTTTGAGTATTACCACATTCCCATTATTTTAAGAGGGAAGATGGACACACAGTGCTGTTGATGTGAAAAATCCATAACTAAGGCTAATTAAGTGCAGAACTACAGGGCGGGTAGCCCAAAAACCCAAAATGCACCCCTATTTGCAAGAAAAGTAACTACAGCAAGCAAAGGCGAAGATGTGCTGTTATGTATCATTTATAGGAACGGAGAGTAACCTGCTCAGGAATTCTGACACTTGTGGTCATTGAGTGTCACAACTGCAGTTTATTGATTTTGTTTATTTTATTGCATTTTTTTAAATAACCGCATAAACATCTTCTATTTATTTACAGTATATACCTCTTAAAGGCTACTGTTATTTTCCCTTTCCAGTAGGTGGTGCAATTTGATACTTATGTGGCAGCAATGAAACAGCTCCCCCATGTGGAGAATCTGATACTTGCTAAAAGTGAAGAAGTGACTTTGTGAGAGAGTGCAAGCCGGTTCTCTGAGGTGATGTGCTCCCAAAGCTTTTACGCTCTAAGCTACTGTTGAGAGGATAAAAAGTCCAGATGTGTAAACATGCCCCAATCTCTGGCACAACAGAAACATGTGAGGTGATAGGTACGTATCAGTCACACCTCTGTATCATAGCAACCACTCACCGTCCCCCCTTCCCTGAGACAGCTTGCCCTCAGGGCTGGTACCCACAGCGAAACCGCAGTGGGGCATCCTGCTGAAGGAACCATGACAATACGGGGGTCAAACATCTGCTGCTTATATACCACGCCGCTGTTGTACGTTGGAATTCTGCATATGTTATGCAAACCGAATTCCCGAAAAGTTGGGTTTTATAAGAATAAAATGCAG